AGACTCCGCGGCGCCTGCGGCCGGATCAGGCCTTGCGGCGCCTGACGGTGCTCGTCGACCCAGGTGCGGGCGGGCGTAGAGAGTGGCCCGGGGTGGGGAGCCTGGAAGTTCCCCTTAATCCCAGGAGATTATCGTCGGCCCGACTGCAGGTGGGTGAGGCATCTCTCAGGGCCCCCTGTTGGCCAGGAACTGGCACCGGCTTCCCCGCTGGGAAGATTGTTTAGACTCCGTCGTGCGCTGTGGGAGCCGGTCCGGAATGTGTATTGGTAACACATGCTGACCAGGCTGTGCGTCTGCTGTCCCTATCCAAGTAGTGTCTTCGCGTGGGGGAAAGAAGGAGTGACAGCTGACTCCCTCTGCCCCCTCCCAGCCATCCTGGAAGATGCTGGTGCGGATATCCTGATGGAGGCCCTGGACACCTTGGGCTGTGAGTACCGTGTGGAGCCCCAGCGCCCTGCCAGGAGTCTCAGGTGGAGCAGAGTGAAGCCAGACCCTTGCCCCCACGGTGTGAGTGTCCTAGGTTATGTGTTTTATAGCCATGAAGTTAATCTTGAAAGGCACCTGCTGCAGTCGTGCATGTTTTACAGACCAGTAAACTAAGAATGGGGAATGCCGAGTGGGTGATAGTTGTGGGCTGAACGCAGCTGCTGCTGAGGGCTGTTCCATCCCCATCAGGGCTGTGGCCAAAAGTTTTGCCTCGAGGACCTGGGCTGGGGTTAGTCTCAGCAGGAGATGGGATGTTGGACTTTTGTAGAGCAGCACTGGAAGAAACTGCGAGTGGCAGTAACCACGAGCCTCAGAACTTCTGGGGTGTACAGGTCGAGACCCTGGGATGCACAAGGCCAAGGGTGGGCAGCAGTGCCCCGGATGTCCCCACAGGTGCCTCCTGAGGTGTGGGCTGCAGATGAGCAGGACCTGCTGCTGCTGCTGGAGCCTGAGGAGTTTCTTCAGGGTGTGATCCAGCTGACCCAGGTGCTGGGGGAAGGGTGAGGGGGCAGTAATCCTCGTCCACAAATCGTGAGGGACTGGGTTTCCTATCTTGGATGTTCTGGGTGAGATGTAGGAAGGCAGCACTACTCTTGGCCTGGGAGCAGATGGGAGCCGCAGCTACTTCTAGAGGGCAGAGCCAGGATAAGGAGGGTTCTCTGGAGAGCTGAGTCAGAAGTCAGAGGCAGTAAGCTGCCAAGGTGGGGGTGAAGACCAGAGCTGCAGACTGGCTGTGCAATCCACCTTGTGACCCCCAACAGCCCAGCCCGTCTGGCTAGAGGAGAAACAGGGACTGTTCAGCTGATTTTTGCACCAGAGTATCATTAGACCCTCTACCAGTTCCCAGATTAAGCACCTGCTGTGTGCCAGGCTGGCGTGTGTGCAGAGGTGGACCGAGAATGGCGAGGGGGATTGCAGGAGCACAGGACGTGCCCGGGGCCTTACGTGGATTTCCGCCCCACCCCTGCCACCGCCCTTGATCTCAGGGAAGGTACAAAGCCAGTTCTCTAAAGCGAACTGGCTGGGAAGGGACATCCACTCCTGCCGCCAAGCACCACAGGGCTGTTCTCAGTCTCGTTCCCCTTCTTTCTGCAAACTGGTCCCAAAGGACATGTGTGGTAAACCTTGGCTTGCAGATCCGTGGCCCAGCCTGTTCGGTGCCGTGGATCACCCCTGGGAGCCCAGCCTGCCCCCACCTGGCTGTCATTGGTCTGGATGCTTACCTCTGGTACTGGTCACCCTGACACCCTTAGCCTGCCTGACTGCGATGGGAGAGTTCAGGGGAACGGCAGGGGTGGCGCTGGAGGCTGGTGTGTCACAGCTAACCCTCTCCCTTGAGTGGCTCTGGGGGAAGCAGAAGAACCCAGAGGGTGGGACTGATGGGGTGTGGGGAGCTAGAGTGATGGTCACTTCTGCTTAGGTCTCACCAGCCCAGCACTCGGGAGACACGGCTGCCAGAGAGTTCAGCCATGGCCTGTGCCCAGGTGGCAGTCGGTTGGCCCGAGGTGGAAGAGGTGAGCGCAGTCAGGTTGGGTCAGGTGGTTGGCCTGGGCCCTAGCGCTTGGGCTGCTCTCAGACCCAGTGGAGGCTGGTTTGGCATGTGGGTGGCATGTGGCATTGGTCTCAGCTGGGTGTCCCCCAAGGGAGCCCTCCTCTGACCCACACCCACGGGCTTACCCCCTCCCTCCTCAGGCCCTGGTGCTCCTGCAGCTCTGGGCAAACGTGGATGTGCTACTGGTGGCCTCCTGGCAGGAGCTGAGTCAGCATGTGTGCACCTTCACCAAGGCCCTTGCCCAGCGCCCCTTCAAGTGTGTGAGCCTCACCCTGCTGGTGGCTGCTGCCAGGAGGGGGTGGGGGTATGGGGCGGGCACTCAGGAAAGGTGGACGAAGCCTCTAGGAGCCTCCCCACACCCTCCCCTTTCCAGGCAGGCCCGGGAGTCGGGGCCCTTTTCCTTCTGCACTGCAGGGCACTGGGCAGCAGGCGAGCGAGTAGCAAGAGATGGCACAGGGCTGCGGGCGGCCTGGTGGCGGCAGATCCAGCAGTTCAACCGGGTCAGCCCAGCTGTGGCCGATGCTGTTGTCACCGCCTTCCCTCCCCCGCCTTCTGCAACAGGTGCTCCCTCTCCCCCAGTCCCTGGTATGGAGGGTCCCCAAGACCTGCCCTGCTCATCCCTCTGCCTGCCCTAGGCGTATGTAGCCTGTGGCTCGGAGCAGGAGCGCCTGGCCCTCCTGGCTGACCTCCCAGTGAAGATGGGTGAGGGTGTGCGGCCCCGCAGGGTGGGGCCCGACCTTTCCCGCCGCATCTGCCTCTTCCTGACCACTGACAATCCTGACCTCCTGCTGGACCTGGGCTCCTGACCACGCTTCGAGGACCAGGTAGGGCTTCTGCCACCTACTGGCAGGACATGATGCAGACTGCCCAGGGTACTGACTGCAACCCACAAGGGGCGGTATGCAGGGAGCAAGAAAATGGGTACAGGTCTGACCCCCAAGGTGGGGGCGGGGGAGGGGCGGTTCTTGAATAACTGCTATGGGCAGAAGAGAAAATTGTTTTCTTGCTGGGAGATGCCAAGTGGTTGAAGGTCTGGAGAAGATTGGGGCAGGGTTCACATGCCCTAGGGCCTGTACGTAGGCATAGGGGCTGGTAGCTGGCTGGGGAGTACCTAAGGTCCCCTCTGGGGGAAACACTGGTCACCTGGAGACTTGAGGAGTAGCACCTTCAAAAAGGAGCAATAAAATAAAGCCTTGAGGAAGGAAAGAGAATCAGGTTCTCTCTTCCCCAAGGTGCTGACACTCCAACCAGAGAAAAGCTGTGGACACCTTTGAGCCCCAGGCCCTCAGTCTGACCCCTTTTGTCCTGCCCATGTGTAAGCATTAGACATAGACTCTAAGTTTATTACTGTCATTTCAGCCTCAGACGGAAGGAACAGCAGCTGACGACATGCAAAGCACGTTAAAAAACCCAGGGCCAGCAGTACAGGAAGGGCCGAACTCCAGGAGGCCACCCTCCTTGCAGAGAGCAGACCCCAGCCCCCCGGCTCTCCTCCCAGGCCTGCAGCCTGGGTCCAGCAGCAATAGGGCAGCGGCTCCCCTGAGACTGAGGAAAGTGGCTGCTCCCACACCTGGCCCAGGACGCAGATAGACTCAGACAGGCCTGGTCTCGGGATCACTGGGCCACGGCCCCGGAGCCTCCACAGCCAGGCCTGTCCCAGCCTCTGGCAGCTCAGCCCACCTTCCTGTGTTGCCCTGGGGGGTGTTGGGAGGAAGGAGGGGGAACACCATCCAGCCCCTCATCTCCGTGGGGTGAACTAGGTCCTTCGGCAGCGCTTCCTCTGGCAGCGCCGGGGCTCGGGGCTGCTGGGATCGGCCAGGGGTGAGGGTGCGGGTGTGGGAGGCTGGTGGTGGGCACAGCTCATGCTCAGGACCCAGCCCAGCTTGTGGTGCAGCACCTGCTTGAGGCCAGGCGGCAGGGGCAGGCCCTCGAGCGTGTCCCCGGAGTCAGGCCGAAGCTGGCGCAGGCGGTAGCAGCACAGGTACTGCAGGGAGGTGATGCTGGCGCAGGAGCGGATCACCTTCATGCTGCTCTTGGCTGCCGTGGAGCACACCATTGGGTAGAACCTCTTGTTCTGCAGCTTGGTAGCCGCCACTCCTGGTTGGGGTGGGAAGGCACACAGCCTGAACCCCAGGCTCAGGCCGTCCTGGGAGGTCCTCCTAGGGTGGTGACTAAGGATGCTGAGATTCCCACCCAGCCCTTCCTCATTTGGGGCCCTTTGGACCTCAGGCTTCTATGAGGACAGCCTTTTTGGAAGCCAGGGGCCCTCAACCTGGTCCATACCAGGGGCTCAATGGCAGCTGCGCTATGCAGCCAGGTGTCAAGGTCATATCCTCACCTATGCACTTCCTGTTCTTAAAAAAGGTGAGCGTCCCATGCCAGGTGTCCAGGTGCACGCCGATGATGGAGCCTTGGCCGAACCGTGAGGAGAAGCTCGTCTTGTCACCCTTGTGGTGGAGGAGCCCTGGGGGCAGTGGGGGCGGGGTAAGCCTGGCTGTCTTGAGCCCCCACAGCCCTGCCCGCCCTGGGGGCCCACGCACCTGTGTAGGAGAGGCCCCAGCTGTCCTCATCCCGGCCAAGCAGGCTGCAGAACGTGTGGTGGTACTTGTCCAGGTCCACGTCCGATGTCCCGATGCCCACCATCTGGGAAGAGTGGGGCTGGCAGAGGGGGCTTGGGACCAGGGCACCTAGCAGCTCCCCCTGTGCCCCGCCAACCACTTACCATGTCGGTGCCATAAACGGGGGAGGTCATCTTGATCTCCCAAAAGTGCTGGCCCTCCCCCAGCTCCTTGGTGCCCCGAATGGCTGCAGTGCCACAGCTGTACTCCATGTGGAAGTTGACCTTTCGGTTGTCGCAGCTCAGCAGGGTGGCTGAGGACTTGTTCAGGTCGTCCCAGACCCAATCAAAGTCTGCAAGAGCAAGAGGCCCGGGCTGGGCAGGCTCCCCGTGGCCCCCAGAGGCCCCACCCACCCACCCTGCAGCCCTACCCGGCGCTCACACTCGTCCTCCTCCCCGCAGCGGCAGTCCCTGCCCCGGTGGGCCGTGTGCAGGCTGCCACAGAAGGCCTCTCTCTGACTGTCACAGTCGCAGAAGGACTCCCCAGTCACAGGCACAGCGCTGGGGATGGACGACGGCAGGGACGAGTACTCAGGGTCCGAATCCGAGTCGCTGTGCTGAGAGGAAGGGGCCATCTGTTCCCACCTGTCCTGCCCTCCACTGGTCCCACCTGACCCCTTCCTCTACTGGCCCCAATGCCCACCGTAGGCCAAAGAAGAGTCTGGGGGTCTGGCCTCAAAGGGCTTCCTCAGGTCTCAAGGGCACAGCCAACCACCCCTTCTATACTGCTAGCCATGGTGACCCTGGACATCTCTTCCTGGCTCAGGAGCTGGGAGGGCCTCCTTCCCAAAGGCCTACCACCCTGGTGGCTTCCTGGGAGTAGAGCAGAGGCCCCTGGAGGCCTGGCCACTACTCAGCCCCAAGGCAGGGCTGCACCCTCAGCCATCCATCACTGTCCAGACTACTACATCACAGATAAAGATGAAGCCACACAGCGAAGTACTCTGCTGACCTAACAAAAGCAGCTTGGTCTCCCCACAGCAGCCTGGCTCCGGCAAGAGCTGAGCACCATGGTAGGGCCTGCACACCTGTCCTGGGCTATGGCACCCTCGCCATCCTCACAGAGTTGGCTCTCAACCCCCATCACAGCCCTGATAAGCCCCGCGGTCTTTTGCTACCTCATGCAGGAAAACGTTCTGTGGGGACTTGGCCCTCTACAGGAGGACTCAGTCCTCGAAGTACGGACTCCAAGCTTTGGGGTCATGATCTCAGCCCAGCGGCCAAACACTAAGTGGACCAGTCCAGTTCCAGGGACTGGCTGACTGACAGACCCTCTTGGAGGCCAGCCAGGTGCTCTCTGTGCACCTCGTCATTCCTGCTCTGCAGCCACACGGGCCTCTCCAGACACCTGCCTGGGCTCTGGACCCCCAGCTGACTGGTGAGGGGCTGGAGTCTGACTCCCCAGGGCTAGTGGGTGCAGACAGACTCCGTGTGCCTACTCTCCCAGCCTGCCCAGCTTGGCCTGGGGTCCTGGTTTGGCTCTGGCCTCCACCCTCACTCTCCTGGCCTCTGGCACCCTCTGCACAATGGTCCCAGTGACCTGCTCAGAGCTGAGAATCCTGCTGCCCTGAGAACAAAGACTATGCCCTCCTCCTCTGCCCTGCCCACCTGTCCACTCCCTCCCTGGGGCAGGGGTCACTTTGCCCCTGGATTGCAGCTTTCAGATGTCACGTCAAAGAGGCTCCTCCCGCCCTTCCCTCCACATCCTCTTCTCACAGGCTCCTGACACTCCTTGGTCCTGCTGATCTGCCTCCTGTCCCCAGTACTGAGTTTCTCTACAATTACTCTCAGCCCCACGCACCACACAGAAGCTCCATGAATCAAGGGCAGAAGCTGAGTTCAGGGAGTGAGAAGACTGCACCCCAGGCAGGGCACAGCCACAGCCCCACCACAAGCCATGAGAACTCAGGGCAGAAAGGACAGGAATGTACATGTTCAGCCTTCAAAGATGCTGGGATGACACATTCTCTCACCTACACAAGTACTCTAGGCCCATCAGGTGACTGAACAAGCCACAGGTGTGTGTCAGACACTGTACCCCCAACCCTGGACACCTCCCACATCCCACAGCCATGAGCCAGCAAGGCAGGGACTGACAAGAAAAGACTGCTCCAGGCCACGTGGTCAGTGGGAGCTGGGGGCGGAACAGGAATGCAGGCTGGGGCCTCTTGCTGGCTGGGGCAGGGAGCTAAGGGAGGCCCCAGGAAGGGGGCCTAGCACTTGGCCAGCTCAGAATCATCACCTCCAATTCTCCCCCAAGGCCTGGTGATTCCACAGGGTTCAGCTTCCCTCATGCTGGGGAGGAGAGGCTCCCACCCCTGCCCAGGACACCTGGCTGAGCCAGGACCCCAGTGCAAGGTGGCTGTGACAGAGAAGAGCCAAGTTACCCACATATTACCCCTGCAGGAAGCAGCAGAGGTGACTCAGGGCAGAGCCAAAGCCTAGCTCTGGTCCAGGAGGTTCAGGAAGCTGCCTGTGAAGCCATCCCCACATGCCTCCACCACAAGCACAAAGGCCACACAGCCCCGCCACCCCACCCTGCTGCACAGTGAAGCTCTTCTTGCAAACCTCCAGGTACCTCAGGAACCTGCACTACAGACAAGACAGCTGAGCTGCTCCTCTCACAGCCTCCACGATCCTGGGCCTCCCAGAGCTCAGGGTCTCAGAGCACGGGAAGGCGCAGGAATATTTGTCTTTAAGAATCGAAATTCTTTTTTTAGAGGCACACACACAAATATAGAGTACGGATCTGAACGAGCAAAGGAAATGTCCAGAAAGTTGCACTTCAAGTTAACAATAGCTATTTTTGGAAATTGGTTAAATGGAATGGAGAAGTATTGCTGTTAAACAAAATGACCAAAGTACCTGCTGATACCCTCTTCAGAGAAAAACACACAAAGGAACGTGGTGTCTGCTTTGAGGTCCTGCCACCCAGGGCCACGTGGGTCCTTAACTAGCGTAAAGTGCCTGGGCAAGCAGAGCACACACACAGGACAGCAGGGCCTGAGGCTGGCCCCGTCCTCTGCTCTCGGGGGCATCTTTCCCTTTGAGTCCCAACTCAGGCAATACCTGCCTTGGGTGTCTCCTCACCTTAGTCCAGCCAAGCCCGCCCCCTCCACTGGAACCTACCTGCCCATCAGAGTCGTAGCCCCAGCTGGTGGACCCTGCCAGAGCCACAGCCCGGGCATCAGCGTCTCGACGGGCTGCGCTCAGGACAAAGTGCCACGCTCTGCTGCTCCGGGGACGCCTGGCCATGGTGGACAGGATCTGGAAGGAAGCACAGGGTCTGAGCAGAGGAAGATAAGCAGCACACTGGTAGGTATCCAAACGCCCCCTGCACTCAGGCCCCCAGCCTGCACCAGCCCACCCAGGGCTCCAGAACTCTCTTCAAAAGCGTATACCTCACTCCAGTGTCCAAGCACCTTGATAAAACCCAAGTAGAGAGCCTGGAGCACCATCCAGACATCCATGACTCTTGAATGCCTGTCTCAGCCCCTCTCCAAGCTCAGCCTCAGGAACCCAGCTGTCCGACTTGCATGTCTCTCAGGCATCTCAAACCTGGCCTGCTCCTTCTCTGTTGACCAGCTGGATAAATGGTTATCTCCAACCTCCCGGTTCCTCATGCCAGACACACAGCAGTCACACACTGCAGTCATCCCCAACACATCTTTCCTCCCTCTCATTGTGGCGTCACAGCCCTCCACACCCCACCACACCACCTCTGAAACATGTCCTGAATCCATCTCCATCCCTGCTTGCCTGTCCCGCCCCCACAAAACGCGCCTTCAGTATGGCTCCTCCCACTTCATTCACTATAACCAAGCTTTCTGGGAAATACAAATTTTAAGTCAACGAATTTTTAAATTCCTTAGGGTCTGCGTTGTTCTTAAGATAATATGCAATATCCTACAGAGCTCATCACGCTCTGGCCCCGTTCCAGCTGCGAGATCTTTCCTGCTCTTGGCCCAGAATGCCTTCTTCTCTTTAGCTCTCATTTCCATGTCAGACTTAAAATAGTTAAGTCGATTTCTGTGACCATCTACTTCCTGGCTCTCCCCTGGACTGAAAACCTCAGGAGGGCTGGGACGGTCCCCCAGCCACTACCCGGAGGGAGCGTCAGTGAAAGCAATGGCACAGCTTTCGAGGGATGGGAGCCCGTCTTCAGACCAGCGTCGCTCTGTCCAGCAACGCCCGCCGGTCTCCGAGCTTAAGTGGAGCCAGCTATAGCGTGCCCGACCCAATCCCCGCTCGCCACCTCGGCACACACAGTGGGTGCCACGCTATGCACGCCAAATGCACGGCCCGGAGCCTGACCCCGCTGCGAAGCCAGGCAGCGCGCCCCCAGACCTCGCAGCAGCCGGCTGCTTCCCAATCCGGCATCGCACTCTCAGGGTCGGGCGGTGTTGCGGGGTTCCACCCGCGCCGCGCGCTGGCAACCCGCCTGCCG